GAAATGTCAGCTTTCTGATGCTGCTTGGCCTGCTGTGTTCATCCAGCTCTACACCTTGTTATCTCTGTAAGAGATGGGATCCTTTTCACATTAACCTTGTTATGACGGGGGAAGAGTGAAAGGGCGAGCCAGTTTATCCTTCGTCACTGGGGATCTTAACAGTTTGAAGCATCCCATCTGGAACTGTAATGAGTTGGGGAAAACCTTGCAGGCCCTGATTGTAACAAGGGTTATATATAAACACATAACAGACCGAGAAGCTCCAGAGCAGATTAAGTTTTGAATGGCAGCAAGTATTAAATTGTAGTCTGTTCAAAGGACTGGGGTAGGAAGAAAGGAATCCTTTCATGATCATTACCCAGTGAATCCACCTGGACAATGGATTTTAAATAATGACAGGATCAGGGCAAGAGGCAGGGGCATCAAAGCTAAATATTCTAGATGCTGGAAATCTGAAATAAGTAACAGAAAATCCTGTAAAAACACTCAGCAGAGCAGGCAGCAGCTGTGGAGTGAGAAACAAAGTTAATGCTTCAGGCCAATAACGAGAAAGGTGATAAAGAATCCTTCCAACATGTGCCAATGATAGGTGGTAATAGAGGGAGAGATTCCTTGTCAGCCTAATCAGTTATCGATGAAATGCTACCCAACCATCTCCCAAACCATTCCTGGAGTTTCAAATTCCAAAGGGAAAAAAAAGTGTTAAGTCACCTCAAATTTCAACCTCAATAGATGTGCAGCTGTTTTCAAAATGCATGTAACATATTTACTTAACATACAGTAATTAAAAAGGAATTATCTTTATATATAATTATTTTGCACTTCCAAAATGGTAATAATTAAACCAGAGAGCCAACATCTCAAAGAATGTTATTTATTAACCAATTACATATCTTCCAATAAAGCAAAATATCCCAACAGCTTTCATGTTACAAAATCAGACCAATATGTCTGAATGGTGTAGAAGTTTACATAATAAAAGGTACAGTTTAGGTAAATGCATAGATGGGGATCTCTATCTGCAGCAATGTACAGTTTGGCACTTTCAATTCACATCACACAGCCTACAGAAGGCCTGCTAGAAATGAATTGTTAACAAATTTGCAAGTGCCCCCTCTCCAAGCACCTCATCATGAAGTATCCACTATTCACTTTTAGCTGAATTCTAATTAAAATGAGGAAGGAGGAGGTCAGGATGAGTGGAGGTCCATCTCTTGAGTAGAATTAGATGAATACAATACTCTCCTTGCCTACATTATACAGAGTGTCAGGGCAGCACCTCGCAGGCCCGTGACATCGAACTGTTATTCATACTTTACTAGAAGTTGTCATTATAAGAGGGAGACTTGTTTTGTGCCATTATCTTGAACAAAAGATCACCAGAAGATTAAAAGATCAAAACAATGTTGTGTCTGTTAATATAATGATCTAATTTTGAAGGGCCACACATCTTCAATTGACCTTTCCTCAAGGCTTTAGAGGGACACAATTGGAAATTGTTAACAACCTAATACTGTGACTAAAGAAAACAAAGGCAAATATTTTGCTAAATACACAAAAGGTGCAAAGTATACACTTCCAAAGCATTCTAGTGGATTTATTGCTATAATTATTGTTCAAGTAAAAGTTTAAGCTAATAAGACTCCTTCTCCATGCAAGTTGCAACTTCAGGAGAAACTTCTTAAATAGAGAGGCGCGAATGCAGAACTCACTGCCAGTCGGAGGCGTTGGAGGTAACGGAATAGGTAGATCTAGGGGGAGCTTGTTAAACACAGGAGGTCATGAGAAAGGAACAGAATATGCTGATAGAGTGAGATGGAGTAGGGTGAGAGGAGGCTTGTGCTCATCTTAAATACCGACACAGGCACCGTGGGCGAAATGGCCTATATCTGCACTGTACTTTCTTTGTAATATGACCCTCACCCCCCTCTTAGTAGATTCCCCACTTTTCACTGAAAGATCAGGGCTACCAGATGAAATCTCACAGCAGGTTCACTTCAATACAGGATACAATCTTTTCGTCAAGTTGGGATGAGGGATACCACCAGGTTTCTGAATCAAAAAGGATTCTATAAGAATACATTCAACAAAGTAGGGGGGCCTCCACCCTTTGCGTATAAAGTGCATTAAAGGCCTTAAGCTTTTTCCTTACAATACCTTCTCAAAAAGCCCTTTGATTCAAGAGTCCAACGCCACCACAGACTGAAGTTATGCAATAGACTAGCAACCATCTTATTATCTTGGTCCCCATGAACCAGATAACATGGAAAGTTTCCTTTGCTATTAACTGCAGATTAAGTCTGCATTCTCACAGTCACTCACTCAGCACTGGTGCACAAAAGCTTTGCTTCAGCCCAAAATGTGAACTCCTAGCGATTTAGAACTGCTGCAATGGCAAAGGCTGCTGCATGGAGATTAAGATCTCACATCAGTCTGTAGCAAGTATTCTATTCATACCAAAGGTAGCAAGCAATGTCATAATCTTCACAATGTTAACCTGACATATCATAAAGAGTGGCATCCTTTCTCACAAAAGGAGGTATGAAAGTAATTCTATGCCAGATGCCCAGATATTGCAAGAAGTCCTGTACCACCACTGTGGGGGTGGGGGGGACTTGTACAAGAAAATAAAGTGTCAAAATGAACTGTCCAGGTTGCTGAGTAAACAACAACAGATGAAACGCTATCATGTTTTTGTTGAGAACTACAAAGTCAAAACACCAAGTGATCAAGTTGCTGCTGTAGAGTTCACCTTATAGTTCCTCCATGATTAAAGAGTCCAGGAACACTCGGTGCCTGGGCTCAGAGGGGAATAACGTGAGTAAAGTATTAGGGATGAGGTTAAAAAAAAAATCACATTTAACCAATAGTTTGCCAAACTCAATCTGTGATTTGGACATGGGCCTTGCAATATTTATGGATCACAGCCCCTCTGTCAATTCAGAATCACAATTTGATAGTATAAAATGTAACATTTCAATTTATGAAGAATGCCAAATAATTTTATTCTATTAATCGTCCTTCTGCCAAAACACAACTTATCATGCTTGCAGGATTAACTTAGCAACACACAAGTTCTCCCTATCTGCTAGCAATGCTTGATGCATGTGTGCAACATTTCCCTCTCCCACCACTAAAACTGTTCCAAGCAATAAAAGACTTGGTAACATTTGCTATGCCTTTCAGAAATTCTTTACAAGTGAAAACCGACAAACTCTAATAACAAGCCCAACGCTTCTGCAAAGAACAGCTTATAATTTCCCTTGTTTGCTCTATCATTAAACAGATGACGCCGTACAAAATTGTATATTGCCTACTTTAACTCCTAATTTATGAAATATCTGACCATATCACAATGAGTTCCAGTAAAGTACTTGCGAGGTCAGGGATTTCACCAGGTAAAAGTAGGAACAGCAAACTGATATTCTCCCACCTTTAACCTCACCACCAAAACCAAAACCAGAGACACAAAAACAAAGTGACAAAGCAGTGTAAAAGTATATACTAAATATAATTTAAAATCAATTACACAACATGGCTCATATAGAGTGGTTTCATGAGCTGCCAGTAATATGTGATCCTAGGACAACAGTCAGGTCACCTTTGTTACCTTGGTATCCAATAAAATGGAGCAACAAAAGTTAAAGTTCAGGACCTGAGACTGAGTAAACAGGCTATCAGCAATTCCAGAAGTCAGTCAATAACAAATGCTGCCTTTCCAGAAATGTAGCAAACCACGTATGGATTATACCACTCTTGAATATGTTCTAATACAACAGTAAACAAAAGTGCTCCAAGCAGAGCTCCCTCTCATACACCATCCTTCTACTCCCATTCACCCCTGGACCAAGGGTAGCTATGCCATGTACTCATAAACCCTTCCAGCTAACATTGGGAAATACCACACTTCAATTATTTTTCACAATTACTCATTTATCCTGTGAGAGATCACCTTGTTATGATACAACAACCTGCATTTATGTAGTGCCTTTAAAGTAAATCAGAGAAATATTAATGGAAGAAGATAGGAGAACTTCTATGTCAATGTTCCAAACTACTGTTTAATGACGTACCAATATGAATGTCACTGACTGCGTTTTGTCTCTGGACATACACACTGCAGTTAGACCAAGTTGGTCTCAATTCCATTTCATTCATTGGAAACAAACCACATGTCAAATTCTGATCAGTTGGACTGGCATGATCTGGTTTGTCATCATTAGGCAGCACAGCATGTTTCTTGGCTACTCAAACGGAACACCTCTCCCAACTAACAGCAAAGGAAGATGGTGTGGGGAGGAATCCTCGCCAATCCTCTACACATCGCTCAGAAGCACACTGTCCAGATCCACAGGCAACAGAGCAGTTTCTCACAAACCCATGCTCTTTGTCCTTAATGCCAAATTTAGGTCAACTGTCCACAAGCTTATTTTCCTGCTGGTTGCAGAGTCACTGAATTCTAAATTTCCACCGTAAAAGGTAGAATGATGCTCAAAAAAGGAGCAGCTCAGGAAAAGAGTTGCCATATTGAAATCGAACCAATGTGTGCAGATACATGTACACAGTACATAAAGGCACACCTCAAACTGATTTATTCACAGGGTCAGTAAATACACCAGATTGGAGTATAAAAATATCGATGATTTCTTGAAAATGTTTGGGATTTGTCACATTCTCTTTTAATGCCTGTGGGATCAAGGTATTTTCTGTTAGATAAATCATCTATATCAGAAAGCTCCACTTTTGAAATCACAATTTGTACACGATGGGATTTTACACTGCAGCGCAGGGAATGATAAACTGAGGGATGAACATTAGACCAGAGCTAGGTGTTCCTGTACAATTTCTGCAACGATGTTCCATGAGGAAATGATGCTTTCCTACATTATTTTAAGATTTTAATTTCTAAGCCTCATTGGGGAAATCATCACATCAATCTCTCAGATCAGAAATCAACATTGTTCTCACAGAATCCTGGAAAAATTTAATTTCCATACACAGAAGTCACTTCCAAAACAGATGAACATCGTGTGACAAGGGAGTAGGAGAGTCGGGAAAATTAGGAGATCTGCACAGCTATTTGACAAGTTTTACTCATCTGGATTTTACAAAGAACTTGATTTAAAATCACTTACATAACTGATATGTAAAGTTAAGGAGTACTGTAAATGATACATTCAGTTTGCTGGCATCCATAGGGCAAAATCAGATGTTCATGTTTTGTTCTATAAATCTACATATACAGTACTCAGTCAGGAATTACTGTAAACATGAGGTGATTCTACCTGTAATATCCAGAAGCCAGTCCAATCAAAGATAAATACAGCCTCAACACCTGAAAATAGTTGTTTGATCGACTCTAGATTGTCCTTTGCTCTAGCTCATCCCGTGGTACAATATTCAAATGCACAAACAACCCTTATCTTAGCAATGGAAACTCCTGCCAGTGCTTACCACTCCTGGGTTATCTTCAGTCGAGCGAGCAGCATGTTTGTCACTGGGCCATGCACTGACCATTGGAACTTCTACAGCAATATCCACAAATCAAACTCCAACAAAGCAATTGGGAGTGCCAGCCCTCAATCACCCTCCCTCTAATTGTGCAGGAAGAGGTACCACAACCAGTTTATCCAATTTCCTCCAGGCTCCAATGGCTAAAGTATAGCAGCTTTTTATATTAAAGTATTTTGAATTGTATACTGAAGAGGTAACCTATTGAGAAGTCACAATGTTTATAACATTAGTTATATGCTCTAAACAAAACAACAGTTACTGGATGCATGCAAAATAGTCCTCTGCCTGTTTGTTCTATGACAGGAACATAACTAAACAACTGAACAAGCTCCTAACAACATCAGATTTCATTGGACAGAAGACGCTAGGCCACATCATCCTTAAACCTGAACATTGATGTGAAACCATCAACTGCCCTGTCTTCACAATGCAACATCTTGGCAATGCAAACGCCATTGCTCTCTCATGTCACTATTTTCAAAAGAAACTCAAAGAAAATACGGCAAGCAGAACAGAGCAGGTAAAATACTTCAATTTTAGGAATGAATCCCATCAATGGTCCTTTAGTACCATTCCCATAGGAACATGCAGATGGCATGTTAAGCAATATAGAAAGAAAATAAAAATACATTTTTATTATTGACGATTGCCTATCAAAATAGGCAAATGATAGTTCATTGAGGTGTTGGTTTTATAAAACCAAACATTCCTTCAAAGCAGAATGATTTCAAAGCTGTTTAGATTAGGGTCAATTTGCACCAAGATTTTTTTCCTCTCTTCCTTTAAATGAGAAAATGATTGAAGAAAGTAACAGTTTTTAAAACACCAAAACATTGCTGTAGGCTTCGGAGTGATCCCATGTAAATGCAACTTCATTATTGGAAGTTTCACAAGGATTCCCAGAAAAGTAAGACGCACTCTACTTGAAAAGCTGTAATTTGGCCCGGTTACTATTGGGATGGGAATTGAACAGGGGCTCATCTTCACCATCAGAGTCACCAGTTTCACTGTCGCTGTTGTTCCAGTCAGGTTTGAGTGGTGTCAGGTCAGGAGCAACAATATCGCCATCCTGTAAATAAACATGAAAACGGGGTTAGGAACATTTGCTTTCTAGAAAGGGACAATAACTGGCAAAAGTAAGTGCTGGAGAAACTCAGTGGCTCATACAACAGGAGTTATTTGACCAGTTAAAGATCTCAACAGCCCCCAGGGCTGGCCAGCTCAATGTTCCTTTTCGTTTTATTCATTAGTGGGATATGGCTGCCACGGGCTGGGTCAGCGTTTATTGACTGTCCCTAGTTGCCTCGAGAAGGTGGTGATGAGCTGCAATCCACCTGCTGCGGGTTGACCCATAATGCCATTAGGAAGGGAATTCCAGGATTTTGATCCAGCGACAGTGAAGGAAGTCAATATATTTCCAAGTCAAGATGGTGAGTGGCTTGAAGGGGAACTTGCGAGTGGTGGTGTTCCCATGTATCTGCTGCCCTTGTCCTTCTAGATGGTAGAGATAATGTGTTTGGAAGGTGATGTTTAAAGAGCCTTGGTGAATTTCTGCAGTGCATCTTGTAGGTGGTACACACTGTTGCTACTGAGCGTCAGTGGTGGAGGGAGTGGATGTGGCGCCAATGAAGCAGGCTACTTTGCCCTGGATGATGCCAAGCTTCGAGTGTTGTTGCAGATGCATTCATCCAGGCAAAAGGGGAGTATTTCATCACACTCCTGACTTGTGCTTTGTAGATGCTGGACAGGCTTTGGGGAGGCAAGAGGTAAGTTACTCTCTGCAGGATTTCCAGCTCCGTAATGGCATTGTGGATCTACCTGCAGCAGTTCAAGGCAGCAGCTCACCACCACCTTCAAGGGCAACTAGGGATAGGCAATAATGGGGGGGGCACATTCTTTGAATGAATTCTTAAAAAAAAATGACAAATACAAGAGATCATCATCCAGTCAACTTCTCTCATCCCAGTCAATTTTCGCCACTTCTGTCTCCTCCACTGACCAGAGGCACCTGTTTCAGTCCGTCACACTGAGCAAGCCCTTCAAAAGCTCACCCATGTCAAGGTTGAGCGAAGCATGCGGTAGGTTTTTGGACTAGTGAGGATGATCGTGTTCTCTCTCAGTATCCACACACTTGTACTTGCCCATTGGGGTCACCAATAACAATCGGAGAGCACCAGGGAATTTTTATGCCTTTCAGGGTGAGATCTTCCATCGCAGCACCAAATGCTGCCCAGCATGGGGCTTTTGAGTTACTGCCAAACCCCATGTTGCTCTGACTCACTGAAGCTATCCAGAAAATTCCCCACCTATCAACTTCCTTTACTTTAACATGGAGGTGGACAAATTGAAATAAATAGGAAAAGTGTGACAATATGCACACGAGGATTCAAACTGATATGTGTGTCATAGGGATGAACCTGAATGCAAGAAAGATTTGCATTTATACAGCACTTTTCACAAACTTAGAATGTCTCAAAGTTCTTTACAGCAAATGAAGTATTTTTGAAGTGTGGTCACTGTGCCAATGCAAGCGTGATAGCAAATCTCTACATAGCAAGTTCCCACACACACCAATATGATAATATCCAAATTATCTGCAATTATTGATATTTATTAAGGAATGAATATCGATCAAGGCACAAGAGAGAAACTCCCTATTCATCCTCATCAGGCATTTTTGTATTGCCTTGTATTTTACACTTTCATTCTATTACGTTCTGTAAATTGTTTCATAGCATATGAGACATGTACGATGAATTATGCCTGCAAGTTCTCAAAAACAACAAGAGGATAAATACTGTGGATTTTTTTTGAATGGTTGTATTGGTTTTCAAATGATGACCATGATACAAAAATTCTCTGCATGCTTCCCAATATTTTTGGTTTTATTCATGGACAATGGACGCCACTGGCGAGGCCAATATTTATTGCCCATCCCTAATTGCCCAGGGGGCAGTTAAGAGTCAACCACATTTCTGTGGGTCTGGAGTCACATGTAGGTCAGACCAGGTAAGGATGGCAGATTCCTTCCCTAAGGAAATTAGTGACCCCAACGGGTTTTTATGACAATTAACAATGGCTACATCATTTGGCTAGCTTCTTACTTGAAATTTTTATTAATTCAAATTTCACCATCTATCCTGATGAGATTCAAACCTGTGTCCCCAGAACATTAATGTGGGCCTCTGGATTATTAGCTCAGTGACATTATCACTCCAGACTTTGGACAACACCAGAAAACCTGGCATTGTGTGAGCAAATGGACTATGAATCAATCACAAAGGAATCTTTCTCGACTACTATAGTGACACAATATTGTAATATTTCAGGACAGCAACATGTAGTGTTGTCTCGAGCTCCCTACCCTGGGTTTACTGAAGTTCTTGTTGATACACCACTGTACAAAATGTTTCTTGGCTGCTTCCACACTCGGCTGATCAGACTTCTTGCAGTACACTTGGATTAGCTGCTCAGTAAACCTCTCTGGCAGCAGCTGAGATACCTGGATGGGTACAGGAGGAAAAAAGTTGATTTCACACCTAGTATCAATGGAGTGGTGACAAAGAAGTCCCTGGGACAATGCAATGAGCTTCAACATCATATCACTGTCAGTTGAGACTCTCTCAACTTCTCACACTGTGCAGCAGGCAAATTTATCACACCCCAACCCCACCACCATCTAAATGCCCAGGAAAATTCAATCACAGGCCTGACCCGCAGAAAACTGAAAGAGCTGTGGATGCTGTAAATCAGGAACAAAAACAGGAGTTGCTGGAAAAGCTCAGCAGGTCTGGCAGCATCTGTAAAGAAAAAAATCACAGTTAACGTTTCAGGTCCAGTGACCCTTCCTCAGAACTGATGGTGGCTGGGAAAATGTCAGTTTATATGCAGAAAATAGGGAGGGGGGTTGGGGTACGGAGTACATGATAGGGTAGAGCCTAAAGAGAAAGAACAGTTGGACAGACAAAGGAGTTGATAACGATCAGGCAAGGAGGGTGGGTAGTTGTTAATGGGGACTGTTAGTTGCTAACAATAGGTAGTGTGTAATGGCAGGCTATGTGATAACAAAGTCTGGTGTGTGGGGAAGGGGACTAGGACATGGGAGAATTTAGGCCCTAAAATTATTGAACTCAGTATTGAGTCTGGAGGGTTGCAGGGTCCCCAAGTGGAAAATGAGGTGTTGTTCTTCCAGCTTGAGTTGAGCTTTGCTGGAACACTGCAGCAAGCCAGAGACAGAGATGTTGGGCAGGGAACAGGATGGTGTGTTAAAGTGGCAGGCAATGGGTAGCTCAGGATCTTTTTTGCAGGCACAGCGTAGATGTTCTGCGAAGCAGTCATCCAGTCTATGCTTCATTTCCCCAATGTAGAGGAGACCACATTGTGAGCAGCGAATGCAGTAGACTAGATTCTGGGAACTGCACCTGAAGTGTTGCTTCACCTGGAAGGTATGTTTGGGCCCTTGGATAGTGGGGAGAGAGGAGGTAAATGGGCAGGTGTTGCACCTTCGCCGGTTACAGAGGAAGGTGCCATAGGGCTGTGTGGAGGTGTTGGGGGTGAAGGATGCGCGGACCAGGGTGTCCCGGAGCGAATGGTCCCTGCGGAAGGCGGACAAGGGAGGGAAAGGGAATATGTTTCTGGTGGTGGCATCTCGTTGGAGGTGACAGAAATGATGATCTTCTGGATGTCGATGCTGGTGGGATGGTAGGTAAAGACAAGGGGATCCTTATTGCTGTGACAGGAGGGAAGGGAAGGGGTGAGGGCGGAAGTGCAGGAGATGGGTCTGACCTGGTTGACAGCCCTGTCAACAAGGTGAAATGCCACCTCAGGAATGGAAATAATGGAACCTGTAAGGAGCAGTAAGCAAATGCAAGTAGTGATGGAGATCAAAATGGTGGGTGGTTCCTTTGGCCAAGGCCAGGTAGGGTGGGTGTACTGTACTCACAGGGAGATATGGGGGTGATGGGGTGGTGTAAGAGGAAAGATGAGGTTCTGACAGGGGTGGGTGAAGGAGGCTACAAAATGGCTGGATCGGGGAGAAGGAGTTGCCAAGCAACATAGGTTTTTTCTATTCATTTCGTGGAAAGTGGGCGTCACTGGCTGGCCAGCATTTCTTGCCCATCCCTAATTGCCCTTGAGAAGATGGTGGTGAGCTGCCTTCTTGAACCGCTGCATTCCTCCTGCTGTGGGTTGACCCACAATGCTATCAGGGAGGGAATTCCAGGATTTTGACCCAGCGTCAGTGAAGGAACGGCGATATATTTCCAAGTCAGGATGGTGAGTGACTTGGAGGGGAATGTGGAGGTGATGGTGTTCCCATGTATCTGCTGCCCATGTCCTTCTAGATGGAAGTGGTCGTGGGTTTGGAAGGTGCTGTCTGAGGATCTTTGGTGAATTTCTGCAGTGCATCATGTAGATAGTACACACTGCTGCTACTGAGCGTCGGTGGTGGAGGGAGTGGATGCTTGTGGATGTGGTGCTAATCAAGCAGGCTGCTTTGTCCTGGATGGTGTCAAGCTTCTTGAGTGTTGATGGAGCTGCACTCATCCAGGCAAGTGGGGAGTATTCCATCACACTCCCGACTTATGCCTTGTAGATGGTGGACAGGCTTTGAGGAGTCAGGAGATGAGTTACCCCGCCGCAGTATTCCCAGCTTTTGACCTGCTCTCAAGCAGAGTTAGAAGAGTTCATCAATATGCTCAATAATTATCAACCATCAATTAAATTAAACCTAAAGCCACAATACACAAGAGAAGCACTGAGTATTGAAATTGGCACAAGACAACAGGCATAAATTAGCAACAAAAGATTTTTTTCTTAAATTAACTGGTGTATACTTCTCTGGCCTGGTGGGAGGGGGAAAGTGAGGTGGGGTGGGTGGATAGAGAAGGAGACTACAAGAGGGGATACAGAGAAGAAAGCTGTAAGAGTGGGAGGAAGAAAGAGGGTCCAAGAGGGAATGGGGAACAGGTCGGAGGTTCCCAGTGAGGTGAGGGTTGGGGGGAGGGGGGAGTTGGGGAGAGAAGCTGCAATGAGATGGGGAGAGTTAGCAGAGGCAGGCTGCAAGGGAGGCAGGAAAATTTCAAACGCATCAACAAAAGGAATGCTCAGGTAACAAAGCCTGAATGTCTACAAAATCACTAATGATTAGAAGAATGAGAGGTGATCTCACTGAAACATATAGGATTCTGAAGAGCGTGACAGGGTAAATGATGAGAGGATATTTCCCCTCTTGGGAGAGTCTAAGACTAAAGGGCATACTCTCAGAATCAACAGGCACCAATTTAAGACTGAGATGAGAAGGAATTTCTTCTCTGAGGGTTGACAGTTTTTGGAACTACTTGCCACAGAGAGCTGTATGGGCAGAGTCCTGGTGTATATATAAGGCTGAGGTAGATTCCTGATCAGTCAGGGAACCAAGGGTTACAGGGAAAGGGCAGGAAAGTGGGCAGGAGGAATGTTGGAACAGCCTTGATCTTGTTGAATAGTGGAGTAGTCTCAAGGGGTCGAATGGCCTACCCCTGTTCCTGCTTATGGTCTTATGATAACAACTTCCACAGAGACAGCTTGTAGAATCCTTAGCTTAAGGCTGCATATGGGGAAAAATAAAGTGGGTGCTATTGTAATGAACACCATCATCAGAGATCAAGGTCTGAGATGAAGTAAAATGTAACTGCCTGGTTAAAGTCTTCCAGTTTGTGCTTCTACGATTAGCTATGACTTAACCTGCCTACAGGAGATGTGTTTCGGTTGATGGTATTCTGTGTAGAAAAGTATACACCAGTTAATTTAAGGAAAAAATCTTTTGTTGCTAATTTATGCCCGTTGTCTTGTGCCAATTTCAATACTTGGTGCTTCTCTTGTGTATTGTGGCTTTAGGTTTAAGTTAGTGGATGGTTGATAATTATTGAGCATATTGATGAATTATTCTAACTCTGCTTGAGAGCGAGTGCAAACAGCTCATGTGAAAACACAAATACAGAAGGTACTACATGAATGTATCACCCAATGCAGGAATTACTGTGACTGGAAAAGGAGCATCTTTTAACCAAAACAAAATAGCAGACTCCAGAAGTCGAAATGTAGCCCTAGAGAAAATCTCATGAGTCCTTGAGAAGCTTAAATTCAACGTATTCCAATCCTCTAAAGAACTACGCAACAGCTCAAAAGGAAGGAGCTTTCGCAGGCTGAGCACACTGCTGCCTCACTCACACCATGTCTTCAGTCAGTGCAAAACTGGAGAGTTCTGACATTTTAAAGCCAAATCTATAAACAGGATTGATTGCATCTGCAAGGACTGAAGTTACCTGGTCTTTGCGAATTTTGAATGCCTGGTTGGGGTTGTTCTTGCAGTAGAACCAGACTTTGTTAATGGGGTTTTCTTTGGCCATCCCATAGTCCATCTGAACAACCTAAATCGAGAGAAAGAGATCAGGAAGCTTTCAAACATTTTCATCAGAAACATTTCTGCCGCTATTGCATGTTGCTTTGCTAGTAAAAGGACTAACATCTACAGAGTGCCTTCCACAAGCTTAGAACATCTCAAAGTGCTTTATAGTTGATGCATATTTTGAAGGACATTCATCATCATAATGCAGGAACCAAAGCAGTTTATTTATGCATAGCAGGCTCTCACAAAGCAGTCATCGAGTTGTACAGCATGGAAACAGACCCTTCCCTCCAACTCATCCATACCGACCAGATATCCTAAATAAACGTAGTTCCATTTGCCAGCATTTGGCCCATATCCCTCTAAACCCTTCCTATTCATGTGCCCATCCAGATGTATTTTAAATGGTGTAATTGTACCAGGCTCCACCAATTCCTCTGGCAGCTTATTCCATACATGTTCCATGCGTGAAAAAGTTATCCCTTAGATCCCTTTTAAATCTTTCCCCTCTCACCTTAAACCCTCTAGTTTTGGACTCTCCTACCCTGGGATAAACAACTTATTCACCCTATCCATGCCTTTCACGATTTTATAAACCTCTGTAAGGGCACCCCTCAGCCTTCGGCGCTCCAAAGAAAATAGCCCCAGCCTATTCAGCCTCTCCCTATAGCTGAAGCCCTTCAATCCCAGCTTCAGTCTTATAAATCTTTACTGATCCCTTTCAAGTTTAACAACATCTTTCCGAAAGCAGGGAGACCAGTGTGATGTGATAATGACCTGACAAAATCTGTTTTAATAAATGTTGGCTGAGGGACAAACATTGACTCTAGGAGTCTTAGAACATAGAACAGTACAGCTCAGTACAGGCCCTTCGGCCCACAATGTTGTGCCGACCTATTATCCTACTAAGATCAATCTACCCTGCATACCCTACATTTTACTTTCCTCCATGTGCCTATCCAAGAGTCGCTTAAAAGTCTCTAAACTATCTGACTCCACTACCACACACCCACCATTCTACCTCAGACATCTCCCCGATACCTTCCTCCAATCACCTTAAAATTATGCCCCCTCGTAATAGTCATTTCCACCCTGGGAAAAAGTCTCTGGCCATCCATTCTATCTATGCCTCTCATCATTTTGTACACCTCTATCAAGTCACCTCTCATCCTTCTTCGCTCCAATGAGAAAAGCCCTAGCTCCCTCAACCTTTCCTCATATGACCTGCCTCCAGTCCAGGCAGCATCCTGGTAAATCTCCTCTGCACTCTCTCTAAAGCTTCCACATCTTTCCTATAATGAGGTGGCCAGAACTGAACACAATATTCCATGTGTGGTCTAACCAGAGTTTTATAGAGCTGCAGCATAACCTCGCGGCTCTTAAACTCAATTCCCCTGCCAATGAAAGCCAACACAGCATACGCCTTCTTTACAACCCTATCAACTTGGGTAGCAACTTTGAGGGATCTATGGACGTGGACCCCAGGATCCCTCTGTTCCTCCACACTGCCAAGAATCCTGCCATTAACCCTGTATTCTGCATTCAAATTTGACCTTCCAAAATGAATCACTTCACACTTTTCTGGGTTGAATTCCTTCTGCCACTTCTTCGCCCAGTTCTGCATCCTGTCAATGTCCCGTTGCAAACTACAACAGCCCTCCACGCTATCCACAACTCCACCAACCTTCGTGTCATCGGCAAACTTACTAACCCACCCTTCCAATTCCTCATCCAAGTTATTTATAAAGATCGCAAAGATCAGAGGTCCCAGAACAGATTCCTGTGGAACACCACTGGTCACTGAGCTCCAGGTTGAATACTTTCCATCTACTACCACCCTCTGTCTTCTATTGGACAGCCAGTTTTGTATCCAGACAGCCAAATTTCCCTGAATCCCATGCCTCCTTACTTTCTGAATGAGCCTACCATGTGGAACCTTATTGAATGCCTTGCTAAAATCCATATACACCACATCCACTGTTCTACCTTCATCAATGCATTTTGTCACATCCTCAAAGAATTCAATAAGGCTTGTGAGGCATGACCTGCCCCTCACAAAGCCATGCTGACTATTTCTAATCAAACTGTGTTTTTCCAAATAATCATAAATACTACCTTTCAGAATCCTCTCCAATAATTTGCCCACCACAGAAGTAAGACTGACTGGTCTGTAATTTCCAGGATTATCCCCATTCCCTTTCTTGAACAAGGGAATGACATTTGCCACCCTCCAATCTTCTGGCACTACTCCAGTGGACAGTGAGGACGCAAAGATCATCCCCAAAGGGACAGCAATCTCTTCCCTCGCTTCCTGTAGGAACCTTGGGTATATATTGTCTGGCCCAGGGGACTTATCTATCCTCAAGTTTTTCAAAATTTCGAGCATATCCTCCTTCCTAACAACAACCTGTTCAAGCATATCTGCCTATTTCATGCTGTCCCCACAAACGTCAAGGTCCCTCTCACTGGTGAATACTGAAGCAAAGTATTCATTAAGGACCTCTCCTACCTCCTCTGACTCCACACACAAGTTCCCTCCACTGTCTCTGATTGGCCCTACCCTCATTCTGACCATCTAACCTCACTCTGGCCATCTTGTGACATAAAACATCGGGGTTCGAGTCCCACCTATTCCACCAGTGCATCATAACATGTCTAAATAGGGTAATTGGAAATAATTAAATACTAATTGGACAACAGAAAAAAGAAGGAAAAAAGTAGCAAAATGTTAATGTGATTGTTACATATAAAGAAAGCAATTGGTCAAGATCAGACAATTTAGCTTAATCTCAATGGCAGGAAACAATGGAAACTGCAGTCAAATGTGTGTAATGCAACAATTTCTAAAATCCATTTTGACATTTTATCCTGAAGGCAGAATATCTGGCAGTGTAGCACTCCATCTGTCCACTGGGATTGTGAGCACACATTTCATGGTCCAAGTTTCTGCAGTGCGATTTGAACTTGCAATGGTTTGCAGGGCCAACAGGAAAGCCACTTCATCTCCCCTGTCCCCACGTCCCCAGCGAAAGACTGTTGAGAAGAGGTATCCTGTTTATCAGATTAACAATGAGCAAACAAAGGGGAAAACATTGTTCTACCCATGCAATTACACTTCTAGCTGAAAACAGATTTGGGAAGGCACGAGATTAGACAGAGAGGATCAAACAACACAAATAAGACACATGCAGCTCTAAATTAATACTAGGTTAAATCACAAAAGATTGCGTTTTAAAACAACATTACTGATGATTCAATCTGGAGACATAAACTGGCCTGCTAGGCTTTAATTCACACTGAAGAACAGGCCTTCATAAGAACATGAGTAGATAGGAACAGCAGGAGGCCATTCAGCCTCACAAAATTGATCTGCCACTGCATCATGACCAATCTGTATCTTAACTACGTATACCCAGCATGGTTCTGTGATATTTAATACCCTTGTCTATCAAAACAAAAACTCAGACAATCTCAGTTTGGGAATTTTCAATTGATCCTCAAACTCCAGAGTTCTTTACTACCCTTTGTGTGAGTGAGTGCCTCCTGATATCATCTCCGAGTGACCAGGTTCTAATGTTAAGGTCATGTCTCTTAAAAACAATGAGGAAAGAATTAAGAGAGAGATAACAGTGTGGAGCTGGAGGAACATAGCAGGCCAGGCAGCACCAAGAGGAGCAGGAAAGCTGATGTTTCGGGTTGGGACCCTTCTTCAGAGGAAAGAATTTTCTTTCTTTGAATAACAAATGTAACTGCGGAATTCTACAGAGGACCAGGATGTGTTTCCTTATTGGGGCCCAAATTGGAGTGACATGTCTATGGCCAATTGAAAATCAAATCATATGAAGGAGGGACTAAAGGCCATACCTCTAAACCATTTGAACAATTACAACATTTTTTTAAGTGCTAGTCAGCAAAAAAGTAAATCTTCCTAGAATCTGTGAATTAGCTGCTTGGCCAATATACTGGGCAGAGCAAGTACTGGTTGCTCTAGATTTCAGCAAGCAATTAACACCCTACAGTCAGAAGAGGATTAGTAGGAAATTAAAGAAAAACTGATTTAGGCTCCCAAAGAGTAAACCCAGTGATCACGCTACAATTTAGAATGCACAGCACCATCACAGGTCTCCACCATTATTGATGTCAACTCCTGAGCAAGACAGCTCAGCAAATAAAGATAAAATGCAGTCTGTCTCAGAAGAAAATCTTAGAATCTCCCCTGTCTCTGCATGAGAAAGCTCCAGGAACCCAGTTACCATCAGTTCCACTCTTAACTAGACTCGCCTCCTCACATTTAAACTGCAGTTCTCACGTATCAAAGTTTACACTCTAGCTAAGGCAGAATATCAAATGGAGTTTCTAGGTTCACCTCAATAGATTATTAACACCACTCCATCAGCAATAACACTCAGTGGGTAAGGTTTTGCCCCGAGCAAGAATCTCGCATATTCAAGACCCACTCCACAGATGTGGGCACATAAGCCAGGCTAAACACTTCCAGTGCAAATGCTGTATTTGTGGATCAATTCCAGAATAAACTGATCAGCGATTTACCACTCTGATTTATCAACAACTCCGTCATTTTGTACTGTGACTTTTGTGTACGAGCGGGAGTGAGTATGTGTTTCGTATGCACGTGTGCACACACACTGGAAGCAAGGAATTCGCAATTCACTGGTATTTTCAAGAACTGGAATGTAGTCAGATGAATGAGTCAAATCAGACAACTGGCCATTTAGTTCTAATTGAGTTGGCAGTGTGAATACTGGCAGCTGCATCTCAAACAAGCTAAACAGCTCCTCAACCAATGCTCAAGTACACACACATTACTCAGTAGAGATTTACAAGCGAGAAGAATGACAGCTGATTTCATTGTCCTGAATGCAGATGTACAGGAACTTTAATCAATGCTTCAGCTGATGCCTGTAATACAATAAGCTTATTCAGTAAGGTTCAGGATTTGAACCTTCGACCTTTCATTCAAGGGCTGGGCAGGTGAAGAAACTCAACCTCAACAATCCAATAACTTACATTTACAATGAAATCTTCTGGAGCAAGGTCTGCATTTACAGGTGTCGATGGGATAGTTGCAGCAATCTGTTTGTTCAACTCATTAATTTCTTCCTAAAAGAAATAGCAGATTGCGACAGTTTGACCTAAAGTTGTTTTTATACAGAAATGAAGTTACTTTACAATAAAACCTCCATCGCATCTCAAAAGCAAAACATTGTTAAATTCATGTTAAAAATGTTCAACAAATTCATCCAAATAACTAAGCAACAACACTTTCCATTCATATAGCACCTTGAAATTAGTAAACATCCAAGGGTATTTCAAAAAGTTATCAAACTAAGTGACACTAAGCCTCAAAAGCAATTATTAGGATTAGCATGGATGACCAAAAAAAAAATTCGTCCAAATAGTATGTTGAAAGACATTTCTTATCGAAAGCCAGACAGAGAACTGGAGAAAACTTAGAAGGAAATTCCACTGCTTGGGTCTTAAACAACTGAAGATATGGTGGCAAAAGGAAGGTCCAAAGAAAATCAGGGATGCAGAACAGACCAGAGTTGGTAGAGGGTTTTGGAACAGGCATTCAAACAAGGAGCTGCTGAACCAGGAGCCAACAAGGCAAACTTAGAAGAGACGCGAGAAAGGGTCATAGTGCGAGTTAGGTTACACACTTCTGAAAAAAGGAAAAGAATTTCCTGTTTGATTTGATTTGATTTATTATTGTCACATTATCAAGACGGAGAGGTTCCAAAAGAGATTTACCAAGATGTTGCCAGGTATGGAAGGTTTGAGTTATAAGGAATGGCTGGGGCTTTTTTCACTGATAGAAGTTTATACAATAACGTGAAGTATAAATAGAGTTGATGACAGTTGTCTTTTTCCTAAAATGGGGAATTTCAAGACTAAGGGGCACATTTTTAAGTTGAGAGAGTGATTTAAAAAAAGGCGTAAGAGGCAAATTATTTTTTACATAGAGGGTAGTTCGCATGTGGAATGAACTTCCTGATGAAGTGGTGGATGCGGGTACAATTACAACGTTTAAAAGATGCTTGGACAGATACATGAATACGAAAGGTCTGGAGAGATATGGGCCAGGAACAGGTAGGTGGGACTATTTTAGCTTGGGATTATGTTCGGCATGAACTGGTTGGAGCAAAGGGTCTGTTTCTGACTCTATGACTCTATGTACCTAGGTTTGGTGAAGTTTTATTTTGTGTGCAGTACAGGCAGATCATACTACACAAAGATCATAAGGTGATTAAACATGGTGAGGAATACAAAGGCCCAGCTGCAAAGAAGTGCACAAAAAGCAAGACCAACATTAGATTTGAAATTTGTAAGGTCCATTCAACAGTCTACTAACAGCAGGCAAGAAGCTGTTCTTGAATCTGATGGTGCATGTGTTCAAGCTTTTGTATCTTCAGCCCAACAGAAGAGGTCGAAAGAGATTATAACTAGGGCAGGAGGGGTCTTTGATGATGTAGCTGCCTTTCCGAGGCAGCGAGAAATGTAGATGAAGTCAATGGAAAGTCGGTTGGTTTGCATGATGGACTGGGCTGTGTTCACAACTCTGTTAGTTTATGATCCTGGACAGAGCAGTTGGCATACCACACTGTGATGCATCCAGATATGCGTGCACCATCGAAAGCATTCTAAGAGTTGGTGAGAGTCCTCATGTTTGCGAGAGAACAATGTGAACAACAAACAAAAAAAGAGTAGAGTTAGACCGAGCATAGGACAGACTTAGAGTGCAACACTGCAGACAAACTCACATATAATGAGGAGTACAGTTTAAGAGGTCAACAAGAACAGCCTTGAAAAAAGTCAGGAAGGTGAGAAAGCTGTGAATGGAACTTTGGCTGCCAAAGAACCTAAATTCAAAATAAGTGGCCAGAATGTGCAGCTTCTGGGAACAACTAAGCAGGTCTCTACAGTATTTCCTCATGAAGGTAATTCAGCTTTATTCTCAATTACTTTCCTGTGGGAGGACCAGATTGTTGATTTTTGGAGGCTATAACCTGAAGTAGAAGTTGGATTGCTATAACTGCAATACTAGGAAAGTTGTTTGCAACTTGAAAGTCAAGGGTTGCATATTTTTGAGGTGGAAGGAAGAAGACTGAAACTGAAAAGAACCTAGAATCTTTTGAGTTAAGAAAATTCTGATTGGCAACAAACCCTGATCAGTTGAGCTGCAAAGTGGCAAAAAAGATTTAAGTACCAAGGGTAGCAAGGAGTGAAAAATATCCAGAGGCTGCAGACAGACAATATCTCTCTCTCCCCCTCCATGTGGGCAAACAGACAGAAAGCCTAAAAGAATTCATAGAAGATTCTATCTCATCTGATCAACCATTCAGCATATCACCATACAGATAATAGAATCTTTGTAAGAATTATGGCAAATCGGCATTCTGTTTATCCTGTATGTATTCAGTTTCTTTCCATAGTATAAACATTAAACTGTTTGTCTTTTGTCTGTCTTTATCATGACTATATGCTTGTGTTTGGGAATTTGAAGGGGGGTACAGTATAAGTTGCATAAAATTAGAAATCCTCTCCTTTCACTGCTCTTGTTAAAGTTAAGTGTGCAACAATAAATAGAACTCTTTTACAGCACTTAAGAAACCTGGTGTGAATTGCTTTTGTCCTCGGTAGGAAGCAGTCAGGCAAATTAGGTTTTGGTGGTGTCAGTGGGATTTTTATACATTGTTATATTTTGAGATGAATTGCAAACAGTGGAGCACGAATATCAATGCATTTTTCCCAATTAAGTCCTGATACCTGATAAGGATCCAGACATCCTGGTAGGAGTCAAGCTGGAGAAGTTCAGCTGGGTACCAACAAAAAGCGCATGGAAACTAGTCTCATATCTATGGGTAATTCATCAAGGTGCACCCCAGAGGTAACCAGATACGAGAGATTAACAAAATTGCCCATCTCTGTACATTAAACCACACATGGCATGGAGCTGGGAGAGTAAACCAGTAAAAATAATCTCCCCAAAATGACTTCACTGGAAGAAGCCAAAGTTAGTAAATATGCAGATGACACCAAAACTGGTGGTGTAGTCAAGAGTGAAGAAGGTTATCTAAGATTACAATGGGATATTGATCAATTGGGCCAATGGGCTGAAGAGTGGTAGATGGAGTTTTATTTGGATAAATGTGAGGTATTGCATTTTAATAAGACATGCAAGGGTAGGACTTACACAGTTAAAAGATAGGGCCCTGGGTAGTGTTGTTGAACAACGAGACGTAGGGGTTCAGGTACATAGTTCTTTGAAAGTTGCGTCACAGATAGGCAGGGCGGTTAAGATGGCATTTAGCATGCTCACCTTCATTGCTCAGAGCTTTGAGTATAGGATTTGGGAAGTCACGTTAAGGTTGTTCAGAGCGTTGGTGAGGCTGCTTCTGGAGTACTGAGTATAGTTCTGGGTCACCCTGCTGTAGGGAGGATATTATGATAGTGGAGAGGTTTCAGAAGAGATTTGCCAGGATGTTGCTGGGCCTGGAGGGTTTGAGTTATAAGGAGAGGCTGGATGGGTTGGGACTTTTTTCACTGGAGTGCAGGGAGATTCAGGGGTCCTTTTTACAGGTTTATAAAATTGTGAGGGGTATAGATAAGGTGAATAGCTAATGTCTTTTTGCTAGGGTGGGGGACTTCAAAATCAGGCGGCATACTCTTAAAGTGAGAGGAGAAAGATTTAAACGGGATCTGAGGGGGAACTTTTTCCACACAGGGTGGCTGGTGTGTGAAATGAACTGCCAGAGGAAGTGGTGGATGTAAGTACAGTTACAACATGTAAAAGACATTTGGACAGGTACATGGATAGGAAAGGGCTGGGATATGGGCCAAATGGAGGCAAGTGGGACTAGTTTAGTTTGGAAACATGGTCTGCATGGATAAGTTGGGCCAAAGGGTCTGTTTCCATGCTCTATGACCAACACAAGGAAGAATAGGTAGAAGTCAGCGACTAGCAAATTAAGTTAAAACAAACTAGAAGACTTTCCTTATGCAGAAAGCAATCAGAATATGTAATATGCTGCCAGAATGATTGAAGCTGGAAGCACTAATACACTGTGCATCAACGTGGGAGGAGGGTGGGTTAAGGAAACAGGAGTGGAGGCAGGGCAAGGGTGGAGTGGGAGGAGATTCATGTGGATTATAAAAACTGGTTTAGACAAGTTGAGCAACTTGATTGGTTTTTGTGTTGACCATGCTGCACAGTGCGAACTACCTACTGGTTGAATAGTAGTTTCAGCTTCAGGTTGAGTTTGACCGATCCATTTGTACAACTTGCGACAAATGATGTTGTTCAGGATTTCCTGCGCAGGTTTCAGCTCAGCTTTAGACGAATTCAGGATCTGTTGAAAGATTTCGTCTGCAAAAAGCAACAATCAAAACACCAGTCAACTAACTACACTCTTGCCTCTTCTGCACCTGATAAAACACAGTAAATATCGAACAAAAATGCCCCAGGACCTGAATAATGTCATATTCCACCACAGTTTAGAGGATTACTAAGCCTTTGGAGAGGGTATAGATTGAATTTACTAGAATGTCAGCAGGGATAGAGGATCTTAAGTCATGTGAAGAGGTCACAGAAGCTGGGATTTTTCTCCTTGGAGAAGGTTAAGGGGAGAATTCATGAGGGCATTTGTCAGAACTCCCCATGGCTTCAGGGGGTAAATAAGGAAATACTTTTACCACTGGTAAGGTGACTGGCGACTAGAAGATAAAAAATTAAAGATAATTGGCAAAAACACCAGATTGGAAGTTAGGAGAACCCTGTTTCAGACAGGAACGTGTCTTGAGTTAGAGCTGCATTGCCTGAAAGAATAGAACATAGAACATAGAACATTACAGCGCAGTACAGGCCCTTCGGCCCTCGATGTTGCGCCGACCTGTGAAACCAATCTGAAGCCCATCTAACCTAGACTATTCCATTATCATCCATATGTTTATCCAATGACCATTTAAATGCCCTTAAAGTGGGCGAGTCTACTATTTTTGCAGGCAGGGCATTCCATGCTCTTACTACTCTCTGAGTAAAGAACCTACCTCTGACATTTGTCCTACATCTATCACCCCTCAATTTAAAGCTATGTCCCCTCATGCTAGCCATCACCATCCGAGGAAAAAGGCTCCCACTGTCTACCCTATCTAATCCTCTGATCATCTTGTATGTCTCTATCAAGTCACCTCTTAACCTTCTTCTCTCTAACGAAAACAGCCTCAAAACCCTCAGCCTTTCCTCATAAGACCTTCCCTCCATACCAGGCAACATCCTGGTAAATCTCCTCTGCACCCTTTCCAATGCTTCCACATCCTTCCTATAATGCGGTGACCAGAACTGTACGCAATACTCCAAGTGCGGCCGCACCAGAGTTTTGTACAGCTGCAACATGACCTCATGGCTCCGAAACTCAATCCCTCTACCAATAAAACCTAACATACTGTATGCCTTCTTAACAACGCTATCAACCTGGGTGGCAACTTTCAGTGATCTATGCACATGGACACCGAGATTTTTCTGCTCATCCACACTACCAAGAATCTTACCATTAGCCCAGTACTCTGTATTCCTGTTACTCCTTCCAAAGTGAATCACCTCACACTTTTCCGCATTAAACTCCATTTGCCACCTCTCAGCCCAGCTCTGCAGCTTATCTATGTCCCTCTGTAACCTGCAACATCCTTCCGCACTATCCACAACTCCACCAACTTTGGTGTCATCCGCAAATTTACTAACCCATCCTTCTACGCCCTCATCCAGGTCATTTATAAAAATGACAAACAGCAGTGGCCCCAAAACAGATCCTTGAGGTACACCACTAGTAACTGAACTCCAGGATGAACATTTCCCATCAACCACCACCCTCTGTCTTCTGACAGCTAGCCAATTTCTGATCCAAACCGCTAAATCACCCTCAACCCCATGCCTCCAAATGGTGAGAAAGCAGATTTGACACTAACTTTTGAATGGGAAACTGAATAAATACTTCAGTTAAAAATGTATATTTAGCATTAGCGTTCCACTTTTAATATCTAGCAGATGTCTCATTGAAAGGCAAAAAAAGAGGAGTCACATACAACGTTCCGTCTAAGCTGCACAGCCGTTTCCAAGTATCCATCACAGTGATCGACTTCAGAGGTACACCGTGACAATGTAAACAAAAATCAGAGGGAACATAAGGCACACCTCATCCCACACAGTACAACATCCAGTAAGTCGCTGGAGCAATGCAAACTGAAGTCATGCTAAGTGACTCTGCGAATGTGAGACACAGCTGACCCGGCGGGAAATGTTGGGGAAATTGAAGATTTTGATGGGCGATTCCCGTGTCTGAGCTGCAGACGCTACAATACGTCAGGAAGGAAGAGAGAAGAGAGGTACCTGGACTGGAGCCCTTCAATGAATTATTTCAAGTCGGGTTCATGGTCAAGGACAGAAGGGTATGACTGTCAGGGAGGCAGGAATGAGGATCCAGAATTTAGCTTTGGAGGAGCCTCAGCCATTGCCCTCATCCAATATTAATGAGATCCATGCTCCTGCCATACACCTTTGGAGTATATAAAAAAAGTAGCTACAGTACGCATGCAACTCTTGGAGGATTCACCTAGGAAATTAATAACAGGGATTAGGGAAATGGCAGATAATTTAAACCAATATTTTGCATTGGTTTCCATGGAGACAGCACTAAAAACATCCCAAAGAGAACACATAAGCAATTAGAGGAAAGGTCATGTAACAGTCTCTATTATGAGGGACAAATTATTTGATAAAACATTGGGACCAAAGACAGGCAAGTCGCCTTGACCTGATGATCTGCATTTAAGGGGTGCAAAAGAAGTAGCTGCAGAGATACTGGAGACATTGGTCAAAATATTCCACAACTCACTGGATTACAGGAGGGTCCCAACAGATGTCCCCTAATCAAGAAGGGGAGGAGACAGAAGCAGCAAACCATAGGCCAGTTGGCCTAACATCCGTCTTTGGGAATGTTAGTCTATTATTAAGGAATAAATGTCAGAACATTTAGAAAAGCTTAATGCAATCAGAATCAACATCCTGCCTCCACCACTCTCACAGGCAGCACATTCGAAATCCTAACAACTCTGAGTAAAGAGGTTTTGCCTCATCTCACTCGTAGCTCTCTTGCCGACAATCTTGAATTTGTGACCCCTAGTTACTGACGTACCAACTAGTGAAAACAGGATATCCTTCTTTACCCTGTCAAAATTGTTCATTACTTTGAACACTTCATTAAGGTCACCTCTTAACCTTCTCTGCTCAAAGGAGAATATGTCCAATTCTCAAATCTTTCCTTGTATCATTCTAGTAAATCTCATTTGCACTCTCTCCAGAGCTTTAACATCCTTCCTTAAATAAGGTGTCCAGAACTGAACACAATACTCCAACAAAGACTGAAATTGCTGGAAAAGCTCAGCAGGTCTGACAGCATCTGTGGAGAGAAATCACAGTTAAATATTCAGGTCCAGTGACCCTTCCCGAATATTCCAGATGTGGTCTGACCAATGATTTGTCGAGGTGTAGCATCACTTCCTTGCTTTTATACTCTATACCTCTATATATAAACCAAAGGATCCCATTAGCCTTCTTAACTATTTCAACTTGCCTGGCCACCTTCAGAGAATTATACATTTGAACCCCGAGGTCCCTCTGCTCCTGTTCTCCCCTCAAAGTTGTATCATTGATCCTACAGAGTCTCTCCATGTTTCTTCTACCAAAATGCATTACCTCACATTTCTCTGCATTGAAATTGATCAGCTAGGTATCTGCTCGTTTGGCCAACTTGTCAGTATCCCTCTGAAGTCACTCAGCATCATCCTCACAATTCACTAATCTCCCCTCAGCTGAGTATCATTTGCAAATTTAGAGAGATTTTTCCCTCAGCAACCATCTCAACATCATTTATATAAATCAGAAAAAGCAAGAGTCCTAACATCAATCCCCAGGGAACAACATTCTTAGCTTGTCTCCAAACTGAGAAACGCCCATCTATACCTACATTCTGTTTCTTATCTCATAGCCAACGTCTAATCCATGCTGCCAAGCATCCAATCTCAACCATTTCTAATTTGCTAACCACCCTACTAGGTGGCACCGTATCAAATGCTTTCTGAAAGTCCAAGTATACAACATCCACAGCACTACCCTCATCCAACTACCTGTGTCACCTCAAAGAACTCAATTACGTATGTCAGACATGATCTGCCCTTGACAAGGCCATGTTGACTATCTAGTATTAAATATACACTTGGAGAAAAATAGGTTATATTATCCTGTTTTATGGTCTTCATCAGTTTTCCCTCTATTAATGTCAAGCTCATAGGTCTGTAGATTCCTGGGTTAACCTTTGCCTCTTTCTTTGCAATCTTCCAGTCCTTTGGCTTGTTTATTTACTCTTGAGACATGGGCATCATTGATAGCCAGCAATTATTGCCCAATCCTAGGACAGTGGAACTTGGAAGGCAACTTACAGGTGGTGGCATTCCCATGCAGCTGCTGTTCTTGTCCTTCTAGATGGTAGTGGTTACAGGCCCCGTTGCAGGGGCCTTGGTGAGTTACTGCCCCCGTGGTACTAATCCTGTGTTCAGAGAGGCCTGGGAAATTTCTGTTAACAGCCCCGCTATTTGTTCCCTTACCTCTTCCAGCAGTCTAGGATGTATCCCATTAGAGCTGGTGAATTCTCTACCTGCAGTGCTGCTAACCTCTGCTCCTATTTCTTACGCTTCCAGTTAGTTACCCAGGAAGAGTTAGAGAGCACCAACCATTCTCTTCCCCGCCAAAACCTTCCTCCAATCCCATGTGTTCCCAGAAACCCCAAGGACCTGATAACCCCTCCCCTACCCCAAACCCCATAGGCAACCCCCTTGCACACTGGCACCACTGGGATCACTTGCTGATACCCTACTTTCCCACCAGTGGTGCCATCCGCAATCCCTTGAACATATGCTACTCAAACCTCACAATTACCTAGAGTACTTATCTTTTCACACAGCCTATCAAAGTGTCTGGCTTGGCTGCTGAGCGTGTAAATCTCAGAATAATGTCCTAGACCACTGTCAAAGGGGAGCGTGGTTTGACCTCCACTGACGATCCTGCATAATGGGCGGGGGAGAGGTGGTGGTTGTGGCGTTGGGAAGGGGTGGACTGGTGTTCATTTCAGCTGTCAAATTCAACCGTGATTACTAGGCCTCAGAACATCCAGACCGCTAGGTGCTCACCTGTGAGTTTGGTGTAAGCTGACATGTCATCGATTGCTTCAGACATTTTATAAAGCTTCCCATCCATGCCGCTTATCTTGATGTATGGATCTGCCAGCACCATCGCCTCGGTGATCCTGAGGGATAAAATATTTTCAGACATGTGTTGGCAATGGGAATCCAATAGCCCAATGGGTCCATTCACTGTCAGGGGTGGAAACAGACTGTAGCCCAGGGTTGATCACTGGTCTGTACTGAGTTTGGACAACTGGTCAGAGACAGCCACAACTGTATCTTATTGGTCTCAGTATCCATAAGATGGGATGGAAGAGGAGGATTAAAGGAAGATACAAAATCAGCCAGAGTTCGCAATCCTGACCAACACGTCAAGAGAATGCAGCTGAGATTACTACTTTTGTCATTTATATAAGTGATTTGGATGAGAATTTAGGAGTTATAGCTAGTAAGTTTGCAGATGACACCAAAATTGGTGGCATAGTGGATAGCGAAGAAGGTTATGTAAGATTACATAAAGATCTTGATCAATTGGGTCAATGGGCTGGGGATTGGCAGATGGAGTTTAATTTGGATAAATGTAAGGTATTGCATTCTGGTAACACAAACAAGGACAGGACTAATACAAATAATTGTGGGCCCTGGATAGTGTTGTAAAAGTGAGACCCCCTAACGGTTCAGGTACATAATTTTTTGAACTTTGCATCACAGGTAGACAGTCATTAAGAATGTGCCTAGCATTGTTGCCTTCGTTGCTCAGATCATTGAGTATAGGAGTTGGGATGTCACGTTGCAAAGTTTAAAAGACATTTGGATAAGTACATGAATAGGAAAGGTTTGGAAGGATATCGGCCAAGAGCAGGCAGGTGGGACCAGTTTAGTTGGTGAGGGCTGTATGAATCGAAGGGTCTGTTTCCATGCTGTATGAATCTACAACTATATGAAATGTGAAAACAGTTTGGGAGAGCACTTTGGATCCAGTGACCATAACTCTCTTAGTTTTAACATAGTTACAGAAAAAGATAGGGCAGGTCCACAGGTTAAGCTGCTGAACTGGAGCAGGGCCGTTAGGCAGTATCTAACAGAAGTCAATTGGCTCAGTCTGTCTGAAGGAAAAGGAACGACTGGGAAATGGGAGCTTTTAAAAGTATGTCCCTGTTAGGGTGAAGGGAAAAGCTGGCAGGTTTAGGGATCCCTGGCTGATGAGGAATATTGAGGCTCAGGTCAGAAAAAGGAAGAAGGTTTAAGCTGTTGGGCTCAAGTGAATCTCTAGATGACCATACAATGTGTAGCAGCACACTCAAAAAAGAAAATCAGAAGAGCAAAAGGAGGCTATGAGATGGATCTGGCAGATAAGGTTAAAGATAATCCTAAGAGGTTCTATAGCTTTATTAGGAGTAAGAGGGTGGCTAGGGAGAGAAAAGGTCCCCTTAAAAATCTATGTGGCCATCTGTGTGTGGAGCCACAGGAGATGGGGGAGATTTTAATGAATATTCTTCCTAATATTACTGTGGGAGGCTGGGGAAGAAATTGCAGAGGCCCTTGCAGAGACTTTTACTTCAGCTTTAGCCACTGGTAAAGTTCTGGAAGACTGGAAGGTGGCTAATGTTGTTCCATTGTTTAAGATAAGCCAGGGAACTACAGACCAGTGAGTCCGACATCAGTGGAAGGCAAGTTATCAGAGAGGATACTGAGGGACAGGATCAACCAACACTCGGATAGTCAAGGTCTGATTAAGGATAGTCAGCATAGATTTGTGCGCGGGAAGTCACATCTGTCAAATCTGTTAGAAGTTTTCAAAGAGGTAACCAAGAGGACAGATGAGGGTAAGGCAGTGGATGTTGTCTATATGGACTTTAGTTAGGCCTTTGATAAGGTACTGCACAGCAGGCTAGTCATGAAGATTAGGTTGCGTGGGATCCAGGGAGAGCTAGCTGATTGGATTCAAAATTGGCTCGATGGTAGGAAACAGAGGGTGATGGTTAAAGGTTGCTTCTTGGACTGAAGGCCTGTGACTAGTGGTGTGCCACAAGGGTCGGTGCTGGGACCTTTGTTATTTTTTATTGACATAAATAATCTGGATGTGAATGTATAAGGAATGATTAGTAAGTTTGCAGATGGTACAAAATTAGGAGGTATCGTTGCTGGCAAGGAAGGTTATCAAAAATTAGAGGGATTTGATCCGATGGAGAAAAAGTGGCCTGAGGATCAGCAACTGCAATTCAATACAGATAAGTGTGAGGTGTTGCACTTTGGAAAGTCAAACCAAGGTAAATGGTAAGGTCCTGAGGAGTGTTGTGGAACAAAGTGACCTAGGAGTACAAGTACATAGTTCATTGAAAGCGGCGTCACAGGTAGACAGGGTGGTGAAGAAGGCATTTAGTATGCTGACCTCCGTCAGTTGAGGCATTGAGTATAGGAATTGGGACGTTACATTACAGTTGTATACATCACTGGTGAGGCCATACTTGGAGTATTGTGTACAGTTTTGGTCACTGTGTTATAGGGAAAGACATAGTTAAACTGAAAAGTGTGCAAAGAAGATTTACAAGCATGTTGCCAGGACTAGTAGGTCTGAGTTTTAGGGAGAGGTTGGCCAGGATAGTACTTTACTCCTTGGAACGTAGGGGAATGAGAGGTGACCTTATTGAGATGTATAAAATCACGAGGGGCATAGATAGGATGAATACATATAGTCTTTTTCCCAGGGATTGGGAATTGAAAACTAGAGGACATAGGTTTAAAGTGTAAAGGGAAAGATTTAAGAAGGACCTGAGGGTAACTTCTTCATCCAGAGAGGGTGCATGTGTGGAATAGGCCGCCAGAGAAAATGGTTGAGGCAGGTACAATAGCAACGTTTAAAAACGTTTGGATAGGTACATGGATGGGAAGAGTTTAGAGGAATATGGACCAAATGTGCGCAACTGGAACTAGCGGAGAGGGCACCATGGTCAGCATGGACCAGTTTGGGCCGAAGGGTCTGCTTCCATGCTGTATTACTCTATGACTCAATGGCCCTTAGCAAGGGCAACACAGACTTGACGTAGAGGTTTCTTGGGAAGTGGTGATCAGCTGCCAACTCTCACCATCATGCATTCAGACTCGTGGTCCCAGGTGATAGAGGACTGCTGAAAGCATGGACTCATATTTTAGCACTAGTTCCTTCAGGAGAAAAGAACAACTTTAAGCCAGAATGAAAGAAAAAAAACCTAAGAGTTGTCCCAGAGAGAGACAACTACAGTGTAACTATACTCACATGCACTCAATAATGTTACAGACTCTGTGCTGATAGGCTCTGCGATGCAAGGTGTTACGTGTGTGAAACATATTGTACATGTCTCCAGCTTCCTGAAAGGGAAAACATAATAAACTCTTGTTCATCAGAGTGCATTAGCAATAAAGTCCTTGGACAGATATGCTAGAGGAGAATTTGACATTGGGTAATTCAGCTAAAATATTAGTGTGTATTTAATGATACCAGATTGAACCTTATTTACGGATGAAGACAAATACAGAGAAGGGAGCCATTTATCTATTGATTTTAGAGGGAGGCAGTTGCATAGTGGTAATGTCACTTTGTTAGTCATCTAGAACCCCGGTAAATTCTCTGGGCACTTGGGTTAAAACCCCACATAGCAGGTTGTGAAATTTGAATTTAATTTTAAAAATATGGAATTTAAAGCTAAATACTTAAAACTTTATATAAGCTTATTGAGTTCACTCATATCCCTTTGTGTAGGAATTCTGCCATTGTACCCTGGTCTGGCCTACTTATGTCTTCAGATTGACAACAATCTGATTGACTCTTAAATGACCTCTGAAATAGCCTGGCATAACACAAACATTAAGGAACAAAGAGATGGGAAACAAATGCCAGCAACACCCACATCACTTGAACGAATAAAGAAAAAAAAAACCTATCACAAATTCTACTTGTTCCAATGATGAATGGAGAGTTTTCATTTCCACTAGTCTATCTCAGAGCCCCTTCCACATGTTCAATGACAAGAACCTCAACTCTCATTGGTCTTTTACCTACCCAACATCTAGCTCCTTATCCTACTCCATTCAATCAAAACTAATCTTCTGGATTTATCTTTTTCATACCATTTAAAATGGAATACATTTCCATTAAAGAAATCTCATTTTTCCCTACACTCACCATTACACGCCAGTATTGGGTTTACATAAACAGTAACTACATTTGGTGCAAGGTGCAGAGTGAAAACAGACAAGAAACTTGCCTCTATATAGTATCTTTAAAAGAGTTAAAGCATCCAAAGGCTAAAAGTGACATCATGCAGTGATCTGGTAATATTAGGATAGGTGACTAAAAGCTTGGCTTTAAAGGTAAGAGCTTTTGAGAAGCATATTAAAAAGAGAAGAGGTGGAGAGATTTAGGGAAGAAATTTAAAAATTTCGGATCGAGGTAGCTGAAAACATGGCCATTAATGTTGTACATTAAAACAAGAGAGGACAGAATTGAACCTTAGCTACTGATTAAGACAATTACAGAAATTGGAGTCATTTAACCCACATATCACAATTTAAAGGTTGAAGAAATGGGGAGGGGTGAGCCCATGGAGAGATTTGAAAACAAGAATGAGAATTTTAAAAGGTGCAGAGCTGCATGAACACAGCAGGCCAAGCAGCATCATAGGAGCAGAAAAGCTGATGTTTCGGGCCGAGACCCTTCATCAGAAACGGGGGAGGGGAAGGGGGTTCTGAAATAAATAGGGAGAGAGTGGGAGGCAGATAGAAGATGGATAGAGGAGAAGATAGGTGGAGAGGAGACAGACAGGTCAAAGAGGCGGGGATGGAGCCAGTAAACATGAGTGTAGGTGGGGAGGTAGGGAGGAGATAGGTCAGTCCAGGGAGGACGGACAGGTCAAGGGGGCGAGATGAGGTTAGTAGGTAGGAAATGGGGGTGCAGCTTGAGGTGGGAGGAGGGGATAGGTGGGAGGAAGAACAGGTTAGGGAGGCGGGGACGAGCTGGGCTGGTTTTGGGATGCGGTAGGGGGAGGGGAGATTTTGAACATCTCAGATGTCCTCGTTTTTCAAGGACCGCAACCTCCCCCGCTCAGTGGTCGAGAATGCCCTCCACCGTGTCTCCCGCATTTCCCGCAACTCATCCCTCACACCCCATCCCCACAATAACAACCATAAAAAATTCCCCTTGTCCTCACGTACCACCCCACCAACCTCCGGATCAAACGCATCATCCTCCGACACTTCCGCCAACTGCAATCCGACCCCAAAACCAAAGATATTTTTCCCTCCCCACCCTTATCTGCTTTCCGGAGGGACAACTCTCTCCGTGACTCCCTTGTCCGCTCCACACTCCCCTCCAGCCCCACCACACCTGGCACTTTTCCCTGCAACCGCAGGAAGTGCTACACCTGCCCCGACACCTCCTCCCTCACCCCCATCCCAGGCCCCAAGAAGACTTTCCACATCAAGCAGATGTTCACCTGCACATCTGCTAATGTGGTATACTGCATCCGCTGTACCCGGTGTGGCCTCCTCTACATTGGGGAAACCAAGCGGAGGCTTGGGGACCGCTTTGCAGAACACCTACACTTGGTTCGCATTAACCACTGCACCTCCCAGTCGCGAACCATTTCAACTCCCCCTCCCATTCCTCAGACAACATGTCCATCCTGGGCCTCCTGCAGTGCCACAACGATGCCACCCGAAGGTTGCAGGAACAGCAACTCATATTCCGCTTGGGAACCCTGCAGCCCAATGGTATCAATGTGGATTTCACAAGCTTCCAAATCTCCCCTCCCCCTACCGCATCCCAAAACCAGCCCAGCTTGTCCCTGCCTCCCTAACTTGTCCTTCCTCCCACCTATCCCCTCCTCCCACCTCAAGCCCCACCCCCATTTCCTACCTACTAACCTCATCCCGC